AAAAATTGATGCTTTTGAACTGTGGTGTTGGAGAAGACTCTTGAGAGAGTCCCTTGGACTGCAAGGAGATCCAACCAGTCCATCCTAAAGGAAATCAGTCCTGGGTGTTCACTGGAAGGACTGATGCTGAAGCTGAAACTCCAATACTTTGGCCCCCTGATCTGAAGAGCTGGCTCACTGGAAAAGACCCTGATGCTGGGCAAGATTGAAGGTGGGAGGACAAGGGGGTGACAGAGGATGAGATGGTTGGATGGCATCACCGACTTAATGGACAGGAGTTTGAGTAAACTGCTGGAGTTGATGATGAACAGGGAAGCCTGGCATGCTGCAGTCCATGGGGTCACAAAGAGTTGGACATGACTAAGTGACTGAAATGAACTGCAGAAGGAGGGCTATTTCATGTTCCCTCTTTCCCCTGTCTCACATTCAAGCCATTTATCTCCAAAAGCAGTAGCTTCCCCCAAAACTCAAGCTCTTGCTCAGGAGTTAGCATCTGAATATCCAAGACATATATCACCAAGTAAGCCCATAAAGTTAGTCCTGTAAAGGCTTCTATGTACTTGTTATATCTTCTAGATAGTTTTGACCACAATTAGTACTGTTTGAATTTCTACCAAGCCTGAGGCAACCCTTCCTAGAAGGGTGTCCTGATTCTCAGCCTGTTCAGTTGGGAGCCCCAGATCCAGGGGCAAAGTAAGAGAAGAGGAAGGAGCTGAAGGTTTCACACTGAAATCTGTACTCTTAGGACATAAGCTTGGCATGTCTCACAGAGAGAGAAAGAGAAACATATATGTCACTTCTACCCATTTGTCTTGTTTTCTACAGAACCAATCTAATTGTAAAACAGCATTATAATTGAAACCCTTTAACAGGTCAACGTTCCCCATCTTCCAAAGGATACTGTGGCCATTCAGTATCACAGAAGAAGATCAGACATGTGTTTTTAAACTCTAGGGATCAAACTTGTCCCAGTTTTTAAAAATAAATGATAAAAAAGTGCTTCTGGAACTGCTAGCTCCAATCTGTGAGAGAGAAAAAAGCAGCATCCACAGCTGTGGCTTCTTTCCACCAGAGGCATCCCTCCCTGGTCTAGATGGGGGTGTAGACAGACTTTCCACCGAAGATTTCCTTCCCTTGTCAGACTTAGTGTGCTGCTTACCAACGCAGGTGCCCTAGTCATCCCTCCCGGTTCTACCACTGAGGTGGGGTGGAGATGCACCAAGGGTAGACCTGATGGAATCCCAAATTGATTTAGTTCCTTACCACCAAAACCTTTGTTTGATTTGCATTCTTCTGATGTGACCCAGTAGAGCAGAGTAGCTTTCCCAGAATATTCTCCAAGGGACTCCTAGGGGAAGCTTCCATCTTCCATGCGCCCGTGCCCAGTCCTGACCGCAGTAGAAGCAGTGAGTTATAAAGGAATGAACAACCACCACAATGCCTCCTCTCAGTGTCGCCACACCAGTACATGTGCTGGCAAAAGGGTCGGCCAGCAAGGAAAAAGTGATTTTTGTCCTCAAGCTATTAGGGCCAATCCTTCCAGTTCATTTCCACAGATTCCACAGAAAGAACTAACGCTACCAAAGGAAGAAACAATTCCCAACCTGTGTCCTCAAAAACCTCATGGTCACCAGCAGGGCTTTTATCCACAAAGATCGGAGGCTCAGCCATGACAAAGTCTCACTTTCAGGTCGCTGGCCCTTGAGGCAGGCAGCCGAGAGAGTGACCTCTAGCCTGAGAGATGTTCCTGGAGCTAGAGCTCCGCCTCGCTCCCGGAAGTGCTCTTGTAACTTTTGGCTCCTAGCAAGGCTAGGCGCTTCCATACATGGAGTCTAAGTAAAAGTACACAGTAACAGCATGGATCACAAGTCCCTTGAAAGTCTATGATCTGACAGATGAGGTTAGTAGTTCTATTTCCCCACGCAATTACGAAATGGTCAAAGAGACCAGGAAAAGGTGACCAAGAAAGGAAATTTCGGTCCACCCACTTCGTCCATTTCTGACCGCTCCCCTCGCAGGGAGGTTGGGTGTCTCCTGGCATTGGCAGGTCGGCATAAACCCCTGACAAGGCTCCCCTTCTGGGGACTGCATTCAGTCACTCAAGAGCTTTCTCTGTCCCTTTCATACTTGAATAAAACTCTGCTACACAAAAGCTCTTGAGTGATCAATCCTGGTCCCTGGTCCCGAAGCTAAATCTTCTTTGGAAAATCATGAATGTGACACTGCTCACTGTAAGCTATCAAGACTTTAATTAATATTAATGCATATATGTGGAATCTAGAAAAATGGTAGAGATGAACCTATCTGCAAAGCAGATACGGAGACACAGCTGTAGAGAAGAAATGTGTGGACACCAAGAGAGGAAAGGAGGTGGAGGTTGGGACGAATTAGAGGCCTGAGATAGACATATATACACTACTATGTAAAAAAGGACAGAACAAGTGAGAGCCTGCTGCATAGCACAGGGAACACTACTCAACGCTCAACCCTACTCAACGTGGCGAAGAGGTGACCCATGTCTACACATAGCTGGTTCACTTTACTCTACAGCAGAAAGTAACATTGTAAAGCAACTGAACTTCAATAAAAATAATTTTTTAATAAGGTAAAAAGAACTCACAGGAGAGTAGAAAAATAGCACAACTTCAGGAATACCTTAGTCTCCCTTAGAGGAAAATACCGAGTGCATTATGAGGATTCAGAGGTGGAAAGAGTGATAAGACATCCCCGAGGTACGATCAGGAAAGCTTCCTGGGGCAGGTGGCATGAAGAAGCCTTAAATGTTAGGTTGTGGCATGTACATTCAATTTGATGAGAAATGGGGAGCCATTAAGTGTTTTCAAGCAAAGAAAGTTTTGTGATGAGAGCTGCATTTGTTTGTTTGTTGAAAATTACTGTCAGCAGAATGGTTGTTGGACAGGGAAGAGGTAAGCAAGAAAGCCAGATAGGGAACTATCGCAATAACCTATGGAAAGCAGTAAAATTCACTGTAGTAAAATGGCATTGGAGAATGAAAAGACAGTGAATGAATTAGAGTTACATTTCAGCTGCAGAATCTTCAGGAGCTTAGAAAAGATTGAATTTAATTTTCGTACCTAATTATGTTTTACTTAAATTATTTAAATTAGTTGGCATTCCTAGAGCAGCCCTGAAACATCCTAACTGAAAGGAGAAGCCAGATTGCAAATTAAAAGTGAATAATCCCCACATGGATAATTGAGTCAATTATACAGCGTGTTGAACACATACAAATACATTTGGTTCCACAACACTCCACACACTTCCCAATTCATGCAGTATCTGAAAAAAAAAAAGTGCATGTGAATATACATAAATTATAGGTCTCTGATACAAACATAGATTACCTTACCTGACACCATTTTAATAAAGTTCCAGTTCCATCAACTTTTGAATCATTTCCCTTTTGTCTTGATTCATTGCCTGAAATAGAGCTGCTAACAGCTAAAACTATTTTGAATCTCTAGGAGGAAGAGGTGAAGTTTATCTCCTCCTCAGTTCCCATCAAAACTATAGCTGGGATTTTCAGCCAAGGAGCATAAGGGTGGTTTTGAGAGTCAATTCTTGGGCAGGCTGACAAGTCCGGGGTCTCGGAGGGGGAGATAGGGGTCTGGAATACTCAAGGAGGAGGAAAGGACAAACATCTTTTTTTCCCTCTGCATTCCTTAGTCTCAGTCACATAAAAACGTTTTTTTTCTTTAAGCCCAGGACTGATGCTTACACAACAAACAACTCAGTTTAAACTCTGTACTAAGGATTATATAACAACAATGTATCCTGCTTGAGGACATGTTTCCTAAAAACTGGCTAATCCTGTAATCTTAACATGTAAATTATGGGAGTGGGTCTAGTAAGATCTTTACAACCTTGAGACATTCTTTGGACTTATTGTAATAACCAATTTAAAAATT